AGGTCATACCATTCCAAAAACTCATTCACTGCAAAGGAAACGAAGAAAAAAAAAAAAAGGATAAGCACGGCGATACCAGAAGAAAGATGGGTCTTACTGATGCCGACGTAACACAGGAAGAACGAGCTGCCAAAGCATTGCAAGGCAAGTAGCCATCGGCACCATCCTTGTCGCAGATCCTCTTCCAAGACTTCGATGTCAGTGACAGAATTGAGCATGGGAAGAGACTGGTGTTGCTGATTCAGATACATATCGCTCTCGGAACGGGGAACGGTCAAGAATGAGTTGTTGTTGTTGGCAATGGGGGATATACTGTCTTGTGTTGACATGATGGGAGGTTCAATAGGAGGCAGGAGCTGGCCGTGAATGCTGGAGAAAGACAGATATTTTGTATGAGTGGTGAAAGCGGATGTAGGGGGTGGCTGGCTATCCAGCATTGCTTCGTCGTCATCGTCATCGTCGGCAAATGAGTTGTCATTGACGACAACCTTGACATCATCTATCTTGGTATTTTCAGCCTCAGCCACGGGGAGGGTGATGACAAAAACAAAGACGAGCGGCACAGCGATGACAGAGCTGAGACGGGATAGCCAGGATTTATCTGACCATTCTTGTAGCGTAGGAAAGAGAACTTGGCTGACCTGACGCAATACCAGCTGCCACTGAGGTAGGGCTGTGATGGCTGGTGGGGCTGGTGGCTGGGGTTTGAGATCATGTATAAAGGAGGACTCACGCGAAGAGAGCTTGGGATGGTCATCCAGGTGGGGGGAATCGTGTTTCTGAGCAGAGGCGACTTCCAGCTGAGGGATCACCAAGGAGGGGATTCTTGCGGGCGAAAGCTCGGGGCTTTGGCGGGCCGAAACAAAGCAGTCGTAATCGGTGGAGCTGGCAAAGCTGGGGCTGGGTGATATGACATGGAGGGATGTGCCAGGCTGCAGTGGAGACAGAGTGTTGTTCTGTGGGGTATGAAACTGATCGAGCATGGGCGGGGCCAGGCGGATTTCAGGGATGGGTGGGTTCTGCTGCTCTTCTTGTTGGATATCAATGACAGGGATGGGCAAGGGAGGAGGAGCCTGCGGCACAGTCATGGTCTGGGGTTGGTGCGTAGACAGATATGCAAAATAATCCTCGGCAACACCTGTGCTGCTATGAGTGCTATCTGGAGTAACGGATCGACGGGCTTCCTGCGTTGTATAGGCAGAGGCTGGTTGTAAATGGCGTTGATCAGTCATGGTGACTGAGCGTAAACGGCCTTGTTCTTGAGATAGAGGTTCCAAAGCGGTGCGAATGTGCTGGTGCCGATCCCACATGTCCTGTGGCATGGATACTTGGCGTCGCCGATGTTGGCTGTACATATCGTGATCAGGTGGGGGTGATAGGGTAGGTGTCTGTACCTGCTGAGAGCTATTGGCACGACGGATGGCACTGACTTGGCTTTGTAGCTGTTAGGAAGAAAAAAAAAATAAAAGAGGGGTAAGGGGTACGAGGATCGCGTGACACACATTTCGTTCTTGATTTACCTCAATTGCACTGAACAAGGATGTTCGGATGCCGACACGTGGGGTCATGGCCCGGCGATAAGGGCGCAATGTTGAAATGGAGCCGTTCGTGCTTGTAGTACGAGGCAGCTGCATGGAGGTGCGTGTGCTGCAGGGTAAGCTGGTTTCAATATGGAGTGATGGTCTTGATGACAATGGGGAGGTTGGCCTAATGATATGGCCAATATGAGGTTCATATTCCGAATGCGATGTTGAGAAGCCATGGACGGGGATATCCAATCGAAGTGGTTTGATCATGCCCTTGTCTATTAAAAAAAAATCAGAGATGGGAGAAGGATTTTTTTTTCGGCATTGAAGAATTTACCACGAGGGTCCAATAGTTTCGCTGTTTCGTCCATATTGGGAAGAGGCGAAAACATCATTTCTTCGTTGACTTTTTGAGCAAATGGCCAGTCATAGGAGCTGATCAGAACGGTAATGACATAGAAGAGGTAGTAGCCAATGAGGGCCAGGCCATGGTACCAATAGATCTTGCCGTGATAAATGATCCAAGTAAGCAAGGAGATGGCACCTGTCAAAAAAGTGGCGTCGCGCATAAAGGTAATGCGCTTGGATTGAAATGGCCGAATAATCCCCATACTGCCAGCAATGATGGACACCACAAAAAAGGCAGCGCCTATGATTTCACCAATGGCCATGGAACCAGATCCATGTTGCATTGCACTGCCGTTTGGGGAAACGAATGAGCTTTTTTTTTTTTTTTTTTTTTTTTTTTAAATTCCTACCTGAAGGTGCCAAATAAATCTGGGCTTCCATTTCCGAAGGCTAATACCGTGACACCAGCCTGAACAAGAATAAAAAAAAAGAACGATGAGCCAAAAAAAAAAGGGGGGGGCGGAGGGAGAGGATGATGAAACACTTGCCAGACTTTCTGATAAATTCAATTTGGCAGCAATGGTTTGTAGATTTGGACCTGAATATGTATTAAAAAAGGTTAGGGGCCAAGAGGAAAAACATCATATGATATCACTTGCAAAAGAAGTCTGATGCCACCACACCAATAGCACCAAATAATAGTAGCAATACGCATATCTGCAAAGATAATAAAACGTGCGTGAAGCTGAGCACTGCTAACATACGAACAAAATTTACCAAGCTGCCAAGAAGTCCAGGTCGCCAAAATGGAGTGCAATAATAAAACTCCAGGTACAAACCAAGGAATCCTGTACAAGAAGACTGCACATACGAACATTGATCAGACTGTTGATTGATATTATTACAGCTCTATGAAATAAAGGGGTCCATTGTTGAAGTAAAAAAAGAAGTTAATTGCGAGAGCCGAAAGTATGCTGAATCTTACTTCAGTGTTGACCAACAGAGACACGGTGTGAGAATTAGAGGTAAACAGGTGAATGGTATAAAAAGCAATCAAGAAGATCAATCCATACACAACAGATCGATATATTCGCTTCATTGCCTATATTCAATTAAAGGAAAGGAGGAAAAGGGTTAAAAAAGAAAAAAAAAGAGAGGAACAAAAAAAAAAAAAAAAGAAAATGAAGGGGTAAATGGATGAAAAGGAGGTGGTGTCATTTTGGGTTGATTTACAAATGCATGAGTGCCACTTTAGGCCATGGCTGTATTGACATATTTTTTACATTGACTTCCATCTTCTTTGCTCTTGCCCTCTTATTGTCTTCTTTTTTATAGTTTTCACACGAAAGAACAAAAAAAAAAATCCCAATAGAGCAAGCGGCCAGAACAAGCACAGCACCACACGCTTTCTGTGGCCGCACACCAAATAAAGTCAATGTGGTTGCTGATCATTACGTAGGATAATTTGATCATCATTATCATCCATGTTTTTTTAGGGGTCTCCATAAACAAAACGTTTCGAAGGAATGAAAAAGGAGGGTTGACTTTTTTTTTTTTTTACGAGTGGGCGTCGCACAAATGGTGGCCCCAACCTGGAGGGCCAATGAAACGAGAGCCAAAGCGCCCACTTTTTTTTTTTCTTCTTCTTCTTTTCCTTCCCTTTTTATCATCCTTCAGAATGAGGTAAGCGCATCCATCCATCTATCCATCCATCCTTAACTAACATTGTGTGTTTGGCCTATAGTAAAGTTAGCGCTAGCGCCGTCAGAGACGTCATCGTCGAAATCAAAAAAGGCTCTGAAGAAAAAAAACGTAACTTTGTGGAAACCGTTGAATTGCAAATTGGTTTGAAGAACTACGATCCTCAACGTGACAAGCGTTTCTCTGGTACCATCAAATTGCCCAATGTTGCCCGCCCCAACATGTCCGTCTGTGTGCTCGGTGATGCTTTCCATTGTGACCAAGCCAAGGCTGCCGGTATGGAATTCCAATCCGTCGATGACTTGAAGAAGCTCAACAAGAACAAAAAGCTTATCAAGAAGCTCGCCAAGCGTTATGATGCTTTCGTTGCCTCTGAAGCTCTGATCAAGCAAATCCCTCGTCTCTTGGGTCCTGGTCTCCACAAGGTCGGCAAGTTCCCCACCCCTGTGTCCCATGCCGAGTCCTTGACTGACAAGGCCAACGAAATCCGCGCCACCATCAAGTTCCAATTGAAAAAGGTGCTCTGTTTGGCTGTCGCTGTTGGCCATGTTGGCATGACCGAAGACCAATTGATTGCCAACGTCATGCTGTCTGTCAACTTCCTTGTCTCTTTGCTCAAGAAACACTGGCAAAACGTCAAGTCCTTGTACTTGAAGTCCACCATGGGCAAGCCTCACCGCTTGTTCTAATCCCCCTTCTCTCTTTTATCTCTCCTTTGTATTGCTGTGTCTGTGTACTTTTTTGACGGTGTTTACCAAGGTATTGGACTTAGGTGCCTCTATCATTGGGAGCGTAGAAACTCGATACATTTTTGAAATAAAAGCTAAATTGCCCACTTGGGCAAGGGAGTAAACATCAATGGGCCCTGGTGTCATGCTTGGTCGGTCAACAAGAACACCACAGCTCTCGACCCGACATTCCCGCTTCAACTAATACTAACAACCCAATCGACCCGGTTCCTCTGTCGACAGGATCACAGACGAACCACCGAGAAGGTATGTTGGTCCTACCGATTCTCGTGGAGTCCCTGTGGTCGTGATCACAACCAAACGTCGCTAGGGACGACCCAGCCTTCCCAAGCTCAAACAACCATCGCCCATTCTCGACTCTCCAACCTCGTGAGTATTATACCCACGAGGATCTTCATCAAATAAAACGACACCTTTTTAATTACCAGAAAAAGCCCTACATAATTTTAACTAAGCTCTGCTGACGATACCACCAATTTTTTTTTTTTTTTTGCGCAGTACCGCCATGTTGTTGATCAGGTCTGCAGCGATCAAAATATGGCCAATTCTGACAGTGCAAGGTCGACGAGAGTGCCCTCAACTTCCCTTCCTGGTTTAATCTTATTCGACAACGTGACCAAATGCTTAAAAAAAAAAAAATAAAGCTAAAGCACGGCAGCCAAAAGAGCAAAAAATGTGCCCACGGTGAGGATCGAACTCACGACCTTCTGCGTGTAAAGCAGACATCATAACCACTAGACTACACGAGCAACATTCCTTTTCGGTGTTTCAATAATATGAAATTTGTGTAACACGGCAAATGGGTAAATAATAGCCGGTGTTCAAGCTAGGTTTAACACCAAGAAGTCTAGATCTTCCGGATCTGGGTAATATTGTCAGCAGCTTTTTTTTTTGCCCTTCGAATCCTGCCCCGGCTTGCCCCTACCCTACATCAGTCTCTACGTTGAACTTGAACCATCACAATATTTATCATTCACTGATTGATAAATACCCACACTTGAATCTCTCGGTTTTCGAATTAAAAAAAAGTGAGCTGTGAGCTTGAAGCCAATCAGCTACCCTCACATAGCTTGTGCAACAACCGAACCCCTGTCCCTCCAGAGGACTCTTCCATAAAAAAACACCACTTCGAATCTCGTATTTCCACTTTTTTTTTACGAATTTTCCAATTGAATCATGAACACCATGAACAACAATCCCAACCCCAGCTAAACTTCTGCTCCTCGCAGCAACGAACCCTTTCACCTATCCCTGATGGTTTTACGGAAGCCAACTAACCAACCATTCCCAGTAGCCCAACAACGGCTACATCAACCAGCAGCACTATGAGAAGAATACGGGCACCAGAAGAAGGCCCTGCTCAACACGGCGTGATGGGTACCATCTCGGTACAAACAAAAAAGACCCGAGAGACCCATACTTCTGAGCAAGGCGAAACATCCTCTTCGGAGAGTAGCCTAACGTCCGCTCAAGCACAGTCTCTTTTTCCCGCTACCTTTCCATGAGGTAGACGATGATGTTGTGATGATGGAGGCGCCAGTCCCACACACTCCTAATGTCGAGGTAGATGGTGACTTCGCCAAAGGCAGACTCTACCTGGCCATCAGCTAGCGTCGACCCATTGACCCAACTAAACTTGCGGCTGTGAGGGACGACATTACGCGTATCAAGGATCCCATCTTGGTACTGGAGTGTGGCATGCGCCCTAGCTAAGACGTGAACGGTGTATAGAATGCTTGTCTCTTTCGTGCGTATTAGCGTCAGTGTGGCATGCGCCCTAGCTAAGACGTGAACGGTGTATAGAATGCTTTGCTCTTTCGTGCGTATTAGCGTCAGGAAGAAAGAAATATGCAAGCTGAGGGAGATCCACTGTGCGGAGACTTGTTCTAGAATTAGACAAGTGCACGAGTATTCGAATTTTCGAAGTAATATTAACAAGAAAAGATTCTAATTGAATTACTTGCTGTGTTTATACCAAATTTTACATGGAGAAGTGTCCTACATATCTCCCTTGACTATGACCAATATACCAGCTTTATTGAGTTTGTTAACAAGAATAAAGGGAAGGGTACCAAACTCTTCAATATCTCATGTTCTAGCGTCAAGACTCAAGACTATGATGACTGACTGTTTCGGTTCTAAGCCGTCGATGAACAATCGAATTCTGAGAGAGTATGAATCTATAACGATCAGACGCTCAGAATCTGTAGATGACTATCTCAAGCACTGGATGGAATAAGAAACAGGACAAGCTAGTCAAAAAACAGCCCACCTGTGGAACGTGGAAGATCTAACTTGGTTCTCCGGTGGCCACCAATTTTGGAATCAGCCGCATTGACGCCGCAGCAAAGATCAGAGTTGCGAATTTTAATACTTTCACCAGCACGTCCTTGAGCAAACATGTCAAGGTCTGGTGCGGGGTAGTGTGAGCTTGAGGCCGCTCTCACATAGCTTGTGCAACTACCGAGCCCCTGCCCGTAACAACACAGTAATTATTAGTCACAGCCAGAGGACTATTCTGATTTTTCTCTTCCTCACCCGACTTCCCAATCACTATAAAATAACACCACTTTGAATCTCGTATTCTTACATGAACCCGATTCTCTACCCATGCAAACCTGATCTCCGCTTCCCGTAAACTTTACCTCCATCTCACGCAAACCAGATCTTCAAGCATCTTTTTAATGCTGAAAGCTGAATATCTGTTGCAGCTGCTTGATTTTGTCTAGTACCACACTATCTCCCCTCCTGCCAGATTTGGCTGGTGAAGCAATTTTTATACAAATGTAGGTCACCAGGAAATAACAGTAGTGGCCTGGAGGCTTAACCGTGAACAGTACACATCATATACAAGTGCCATGGAAATTTTGGTGAAGATCGGTGGAGAGTTGATTCTTGGCTCACAATTTGGCTTCCTCTGTTTCGACCAAAAATGGCCAGAGAGCAGGGACCCCCTCAGGGATTATGAAAAATCGAAAAAAAACGTCGTAGATCATTTTTGAACTGATGGATCTAATTCGTATTTTGTGTAGGCACAGATACTAACGAAAGCTAACGATTGTGAAAAAATATTCACTCGATTGAGGATGATTGCCCAGCCAAAGTTTGAAGTAGCATGATTTACAATCTCCGATCCACAGCTGATACATCGTCAAAAACGAGAAAAAACGAAAAAAAAACAAGCCAAAATGCACCTCTGACGAACGGCTTCAGATTTGGCATACAGGTAGTAAATGATGAGGGATGACCATGGTAATAATCTCAGCCTGGACAGATCATTTGATGGCGATCTAGAGCATGCCACTTGGTGGAAGCATGTGGAGTTTTGGCACCTCCGATTCCTTAGCCAAAATTTCCAACACCGGCTCGTCGCTGGCCTTTTCACAGCTTTGTTGGTTAGGATAAATTGTTTCACAGGTCCCAAAGGCCACAAAGATCGTTACTAACACTGCACCTGAGGCATGCTGCATCATAGCCTTGCCGCCATCGTTTTCTACACCCGAAAATGTTTGGCTGGAAATTCTCATTTTGGCAGGATTTATTTTGTATCACACACTCATAACAAAGTGTGGGAGTCTTTGCTAGCTTTCCCCCCACCCCTTCTGATATCCCCACTCGTGAGGTACAAGTGCTGCCACAAAAAAATAGTGCTGCCACGTCATTTATTTTTTTTAAACCTAATAGCGGCGATTGTCCATGCCACGACGGCCGTTGTAAAATTCAGGATTAACATTGATGAGCTGCAAAGAAGTTGAAAAGAGAGAGGGGTCAGGGACGATAAGTGACTTCCGGTGCAAACTGGCATGTTTCCCCTTCACTAAAAAATGTCTTCTTTGTTTACCTTGATGTTTTCATGTTGCTGAACTCTGTTCCAGGGCTCAGGGTTGTTCTTTCGATCCACGAGAATTTCAGGGTGAGTGCGTAACAAGTACACTATAGAGAAAAGAAAAACGGTAAGCCAAGTTACTTCCTTTCACCAGACAATATCAAGGTTGTATTCTTTACTTGGGTATCTGCAACAAAAATGTGAGGAAGGTTGGCGTCGATTTCATTTTTCTAGCGAACTTACGTAACAGCAGCAGCACAACCGCCACCGGCGAATAAAAACAAAGGGCCCAAAGCAGGGTTGGCACGAACAAATGCAGCAAAACTCATGGTATCCAGTAGCTGTTGTAAAGAGAGAGTAAAGCAAAGAAGAAGCCCTTTATTTCGTTCGACAATTCTCCTATTTTTATAGGTTCACCCACATTTGTCACAAGACCTTTCATCCTGCGTGTACGACTCCTTATTTTTGGTGAGAAAAAAATTTGTTTGAGCCTGTGAACTTTTTTTTTTCCAGTTCACACTGTTGAACATGGAAAATGAGTGCTAAACTTACTTTGCTGGCAGCTGTGCAACCCACCACTGGAACAAAAGAAATTCCACGCGTTAAACGAGCGCGCTCTTTCCTTCCTTTTTAATTTCATCGCGGGATTGCTTCTTGAAACTGGTGGATGTAATCAGTACAGCAATCAGCAGTTGGAATGCGTCCAATGAAATGAAAAATATAAAATAATGTCATACTAATGCAGTCGTTCAAAGCGGTGAGCAAAGGAAAACCTTTTTTAAGAGATTGGAATGGACTAGAGTGAAACGAATTTGATTTATTGCGAAAGGCTGACTGCCTTTTTAAACTTCTAGTGAGGACAGAATTCAACAGTGAAGCTTGTAGCACCGCAGGAATAAACGCTAGTGGCATCGTCATAGGCGTAAGAGTATGCGTCTGGGCAAGTTGATTTTGCAGCATCTGCATAGCGGCTAGGTTTGCAAGTGTTTTCACCATAAGCGCCTGTACAACAGTATTCAGGTGTTTGGAAATGGGAGCAGGCTGATTGGCAGGCCACAGCCTTACCTGTGGAATTATCCTTGGATTCAAAGCCCTGTGGACAAGAAGGCAGGGATTTACAAGCGGGAGTGCCGCAGTGCTTTTGTAGATTGTAAGGGTTGCTGGTTTTTGAGTCTGGGGTGATGGTCATAGGCAAATTCCATCCATCCACCAGGGAAATGTCGTACATTGTTTCAATATTTCCAGGCTTGAAGTTAAACTCAGCCAACGTAGTAGGTGCCCACAAACCAGAATACTTGCAAACTTGACCTTCGCATGATGTGCGAGCCCACACCCTGCCTTCCCAGCTGCTAGGGTAGGTAAAGGTATGTGATTGACCGGCTGAGACTGATGTCGAGTCACCATACAGCTTCCCGTTTTCAGATGTACCCGCAATAATGGAGTAACTGCAGCTGTTCTTCACAACCACAGAGGGTGAACCACCACTGGCGTCACGTCGATAGGGTGGGAAACCGGCCGCCAAATCAAGCAAAATGGAAATAATGGCCACAGAGAGATATGGAATTTGCATGTTAAATGGTCTAATCGTTGAAAAGAAAAAGAACCCTCACTTTTTTCTTCACGTTTTAAAGAGCTTTTTTTTTTACTTTTTTTTTTTTTGGCGTCGATGATCTCTTTGCCACCTAGCGAATGGCAGCAAGAGAAAATTCAGGGAACAATTCCATTTCTCAGCCGGTGGGCAGCCAAGTTTCAGATTATTTTTTTCCAAGATTCTGTCAATTCGAAACTGTTGTTCCTATGGACATGTTTTAGAAAGACACGCTCTGAGCAGCTGGTTGTTCTAGGTCCCTATGTCAGGCCCCCTTGATAATAATAGAAATAAAACCTGGGTTTGCATTCCCCCACCAACAAAACTTTGCAGAA